TATTAAAACAAACAAAGAAAGCTCATTTATTAAAAATCTAAGATTTCAGCCTGGAAATTTCTGAATTTTCTGCTGCTGAGTGCAGTAAAACGATCCCACTGACAAATCAGATACCCAGGATTGGGCAAGTTTGTGGAATTTTTGTCCCCTTAATTTATATGTACTTACAGACAAAGAAATTGTCTTTAACAAAACCCTTCCTAAAAACTCACAGGACATAGCTCCTTGTCCTACAAGCAAGTTCAGGTGTGAGAATTTTTACAGCATTGTCTATAAAGAAAATGAGGAAAAAACATCTTTGGTCACACTGAGACAAAAATTACAATGTTGGATAAATTCTAGGATTCTTACCTCTCTAAGTARCTTTCATAAAAATAAAAATACTGACATAAATTATTACCCTTCTCTAATAAAAATCTACTTTCAACAAAGGTACTTCATAATAAATAATTACAGCAATATCAACTCAAATTCTGGAAACAATTACAGTGGTTACAGTGACAGCATTTTCTAGCTGTAATCTAGGAAAATAATCAAGGTAGTTTTACCAYTGCTTTTCTGCTCCCCCAGTTAAAGAGTACTGCCCCATGTCCAACCCTATCAATATTATAATAAAAATGTAGTATTCCCTTAAAGTCTCATCAAGACAAACATTACTGCATATTATCCTTGACAGCCAATAGCTATTTTTTTTGAAACTGCCAATCTATTCACATTATCTCAGATTTGGAAAGAGGATCTAYGAGTAGTCTTTGGGGGAAGAGGTTATGAGTTTTCTGTTTGTTCGTTGTATGCTTCTAATGTGTATAAATAGTAGAAGAGAACCAGAAATGCAGGAAGGTATCAAATTTTGATTCTTTATAATATTTCCTGTTACAAGGTAAGAGTAACGCTACTGCTAATAGGGGCACAAGGATCTTGACTGCTAAAGCRGACACACAGGCTCAAGTCCATTGATCACATCTCTGCTTCTGGAGCCTTGAACAAGAGATTAGCAATGACAAAAGCCTTCCCGAGGCACCAAGATGAAGGGGCAAACATGAAACTCAGTTGTTTTTCAGTTCCTGCATCTGATGCAGTTACTRTGTTAAGCTTTCTAAAAGAGAAGTGTAATGAATTTTCCACGTATGCTCTTACATGCATGGCAGGAGATTCCAGGATGGAGTCAGAGTGCGGACAGAAATAGAAACAATGCTCACAATAATTTACTAATTTGACTAATTTATGATTTTTATAGGAATGTTCTTTTTTCAAAGCAATTTCTGAGCAATGAAAGCAGGTTGTGACAGCAACATAAACATTATCTGCTGTCCTTTAAAAGTTGTTTTTTTCATGAGTATGCACGAGTGCTGATCAGGACAAGGTAGCGTGGCATCTGACAGCCAGAACCTGTCATGTTGGATGATACCTATTGCAAGAAGTCTCAACATGTTTTTCGATTTTGGYTAACACAGTTTCCTAGAAGAATTGATCTTACTCCTCTGAGACCTGTTGAAAATTTGGAAGCTTTGAAAGTTTTTGTCTTCTGATAGTACAACCATGCTGTTTGAAACCATTTCAGAATAGTTGTATCTGTAATGCTAAGAGGTTTGCTCTTGGACTCAACTCACATGCTGTTCCTCACACTAGTAACTCAGTCAAGACCTTACTCATGGAAGTAAGTGCCACCAAAAAGCTGCACGTTGCAGCCAAAGTCTTGTGTATTTTAGACACAAGACACACAAAATTGATGTATTTACTTATTGAACATTTGATGCAGTTAAGCAACTCTGGCAAAAAAGTCTTAAAGRTGAAATGGCAGTAAAGTTCATTCTTGCTTTGTGTGACCAGGTTTTCTCTCAGCTGTAGTACRATTTTACCTGGTAAAGCTTCTTTAAATAGCACAGATAGGGAACTGGATCAGAGTCAGGAAATATAAAACCTCACAAAGGTGGGAAGACTAAAARAAAAGCACTGAATGAAGCACAGCCAACCATACGTTCATCAGAAAAAGGATCTCCACAGTTAGATCTTACACCAGAAAAAAAAATTATCAAACTAAGCTAATTCCTAATGGAGTCACTGGTGGTTCTCAGAGAAAAGAAGTAATTCCTAGTCCACAGCTAATTCTGCATCGGGCTTTGGTTAGTGCTACGCACATCATTATATTTTGTTACTTTTCTCCCTTGACCTTGCCCATCTTGTTCCAATGAAAGTTCACTTGGCAGTTGATAAGGAAAGCAACCAAGGGTAAAGCTGAGTAACTAAGCAAGAAAATAAATGCAAGACCTTTGAAGGCCTTGGAAAACCCAAACATGGTTTTACACTGTTCACCAACAGATTAAGAAAAAAAGGCTAAAAGAACCTGGAACTTTTCACTCTCAACATCCAAAAGCTGTAAAATGTTAGAATTAGCACAGAATATGCACAAGAAAGCCTGGACTAGGATCAAAAGGGCAGTACAGAAGTCTATGCTGTAGAAGGACCAGCTTCAGCAGAAACTAAAGAGCTGCACATAGCTCACAGGCAGTTCACAYGGGATTTCAAGGRCAGGGCTGGCACCAGAGCTGTGCTGACACAGATGCTGGCAAGTGTCACCATCCCTGCAGCAATGGAGGCCAGTATGGACAGGGGGCTGCAAACCACAGCAGCCATGGGTTACCAATCGATATTGATTGTGGGGACACAGAACACGCTGACTTCATTTCGGCTGTGCCTGCCCCAGGGATGGCAAATGTGCATGGCAGACACCAGAAAACAGGAGCTACTTCAACAAGCTCAGTTAAATTTGCCCTTCAAACAAGCTGATGTGTTCAGACAAATTAAAAAAACAAACCCAAACAGCGTAATTACTGCTTTCTTCATGCTTGCAATTTACTAGTCAGTCATTCCTTTTTCATCACATGAATGACATCGCTGTCAGAAATTATTGCTCGAGGACCTAGACTGAAACCAGCTCTGCAATCACATTAAAAGGTCTCYGTGCAGATGCAGGAGCAGAGCATTAGCTTTCAAATTATTTTCCCAAATAAGAAAYACAATAAGTGAAACACTTCAACAGCAACTAATCACTAACAATTAAAAACATAGAAGTAATAACTTCATTCTACAGACTCAACAATTTTAGTAGGGAATTAGCATTGAAYGAAGATGACAGCACATGAAATACTATCAAAATCCAGAAGTGTACTGAAACACTTTAAARGCTTCACCTTGGCTTGTGTGAGTGAAGAGTACCTGCACATATGCGGTTACACAAATAAGCTTGCAGGTCTTTCCTGTACATTTCAACAGTACTCACAAATGGCGCAAGATCAACCTTTGGTGTTCACTCTTGGCATATACCAAACACATTTAGCAAAACTACTGCATCTGCATAATAGACAAGTTCAAACTTTTCCAGGAATAACAAAACTATTGAGAGTACAGCAGCTGCTGTGGTGTTAAGCAATCTTCAGTGTCTTCTTGGCCCATGGGATGGAGCAGCAGTTGTGTTCTTTTTCTCTCCCCTAACTTCGGTTAGGCCCCTGGTCCCCTTCTGGAGCCACAGCTACTCCCCAGCTGACAGTCCCAGAGAGGGCCTTACTTTGGCACAGCCCATTTGCAGACTTGTCCTGTTTCTAGGGCTGCAAGGCCACACATGAAACRCACCCCTGTGCTGAAGGAAAGACATGGCCATGTCGAGGGGCTCAAAACAGGCCAGAGACTGGCATTACGCAAACCACGGTGGCATTAACATGAATTAATTTGTTACAATTCAGTATTGTCTACGCGCAAAAGCACAGGGTTTCAGTGWGCATCCCTCACTCAGTGTTTTCAATTAGATCACAGTGGGGTAGCAGCTCTGCCTATCATAAACCTGTCTGCTCTTCAACCACACGTACAGGACTTGAGTAGTATTTCTGGTTAGCTTAATTACAAGGTTTTTAGGAGCCACTGGTCACCAAAAGCACTGTTACACTTACRTAAGATCACAGTGCTCATTTCTCTGCTGAAATCTTGTTACAGGGACATTTGTGACCTAAATGGATTGCTAAGAGCATCACTTAAGAGGCTTGTTGCATAGGAACCTTAGCGAGTAGAGAATTCGGCTACTCTCGGCTACTCTCGAGTCTCAGAGGAAACACTGATACAGCAAAATCACTTCTGCACACAGAGATGCATATACAAAAGTGTCAAGTTATACAAATAAATTATTCCAAAGCACTCGTTTTATGTCAGTCATAYGCCCACATAATGTCATCACATATTCGCATTCCTCGTGTAATTAGATATTTTCACAACTGGAAAGAAAAAATGCCCAACAACAAAAGAGCAAACCGCAAAATAACAGGATCATGTCACAGTGATGCCATTTAAATTTTTACATGAAAACTATAAAGATTAATAGAGGCAAAGCACATTTCATCTGAAGGCTTTTATTTAGAACTTTTCATATGGATTTGTTATTATCTGAATCTCAATTATATTCCATGCACTTTATATTCTTTTCAGAAAACAAGTGTCTTTGCTATACATATTAGATTTATCTTAAAACTGTGTCCTCTGAGAAACAGCAATATTCTTTGAGTTTATTTGCTGTAACAGCATCGATGAAAAGTACTCTTCAGGCACCAAGTCAACTGAAAATAAGCACAAATGCCTGTAAGTATCAAGCAGGTATTCACAACAATTCTGAATTTGATTTAAAAAAGAAAACTACTTTTAATTAAGACTCGTTAGTTTCTCTCAGCCCTCAGTAAATAGAAAGCATAAGGCATGTGGAATCCAAATTCTTTAATGGAGCTGAAGCTAAAAGCACCATCTGCCATTTACCCCGCGGTTTTCAACCGGGACCTTTTTCTTCATCGGTCGCAAACATTGCCTTTCCTCCAGATCAACACCGGCGATCCGGCCACTGATACCGGCAAGTCACGCACGGGGGAGAGCGAGCGAGGATGTGCAGGTGGGAACTGGGGACGCCGTGAGCGGTGGGGCCGCCGGAGAGGGGAGAGCAGCAGCCCCAGGCCCCCGCTGCCGGCACGGGAGAGGCGGCGCCGAGGCCGCGGTTCTCCATCCAGCGCCGGCGGCGGCGGCGGGAGCAGCTACTTGCAGAGGCCCTCCAGCCGCTCCAGCGTGCCCTTCATGTCGCGGATGCGCTTGGCCAGGGCGGGCACGGGCTGCATGGCGCGGTCCAGCTCCTCGCAGCGCGCCACCAGCGCGTACATGGCGCGGATGCTGAGGTCGGCCGCTTCGCCCAGGCTCTCCACGCCGTCGCGGTAGGTCTGGATGCAGCCGACGCTGAGCGCCGTCAGCGCCTGCAGCCCGCAGTGCACGTTCCGCAGCAGATCGTCCACCTGCGCCGCCACCTGCCCGGCTAGGGCCACCACGTCCTGCAGCGCCCCGGGGTCGATGGCGGGGATCGAGGATCCRCCGCCCCCGGCCGGAGGCTCGCCCCGCGGGGCGCCGCTCAGCCGGATCCGCCGCTCCAGGTTGTTGGCTACGAACTGGGTTAGGCGCCCCTCGCGCAGCACCGTCCCCTCCAGTTCCAGGGCGCTCGCCAACGTCGCCCGACGCCCCTCCGGTAGCTGCCGCCCCGCCGCCGCCGCCCCTTCGCCRGCAGCCAGGCTGAGAGCCTCCAAGCTCCGCTCGTCCCGCCCCCGCCCCTCCGGCGGCGCGGCAGCCGGGCCCGGCTCCTCCATGGCGAGCGACGCGTGCCCGCCTGCCGCCACCGCCCACCGGGGGGCGCGCCGACGCCTGTTTACGTCTCTCACGATTGGCTGCGGGCAGCGCGGGGGCGCGGCTTCGGCTGCTCGTGCGGCTCCCGATTGGCCGGCGGAGCGCCGCCCGCCCGCTGCGCACTGCAAGCCCGTGACTCGGAGACAGGGGGCGTGCCCACCCGGATTGGGCGGCTCGAGGGAGGCGTGGCCCGGAGTGTTTTTGTCGCTTCCGATTGGTCGGAGCGAGGACAGAGAGGCCGCCGCTCTGCCGCGATTGGCGGCGCGCGGCGGGGAGGGACGGCACTGGCGCCGTCAGCGCACGGCGGTTGGCGCGGGGGCGGAAGTGGGCGGACCCCGTCCGGGTAACAACACCGGGGCGCCGCTGGCAGCTCCCCTCACTCCCCCGCCATGTTCTCCTAGCGGCGGCTCTGSTTGCGCCACTACTTCCACAGCCCGTCACAAAGCCCGGGCAGACCCTCCCCAGCAACCCGACCCCCTCTTCCCGGCACAACTCTGGGTACCCACGTCCCACCATGGTCACCACCACGGCGCCGCCGCCCTTCCTGGCTCGGATCTCGGCGGGCACCGAAGACCCGCGGCGGCTGCCGCCCTCCGCCCTGCTCCAGCGCCTCAGGCGCGGGGACAGCAACTGCGAGAACCAGCCCAGYTGCTGCCTGGCGGGCCCGGGGGGCAGCGCTCGCCCCGCGCTGAAGAGGGTGCGGCGGAGGAAGGGAAAGATCCGRCCCGGCCCCGCGGGGCTCCTGCCTAGCCGCTACCAGCAGTACCAGCAGCACCGTGCCGGCCTGGGGAGAAGAACCCCGCTGGCAACCGACCTTGTGACAGACGCTCCCCCGGAGGAGCCCCCGGCGCCCGCCCCTTCGAGACCCGCGCCCGGCAAACCCCTCAGGAAGGAGGTAAAGAGAGGGCTGTACTACTTCTCTACACTTCTCTGTCCTTCCTCAGCCCTCTCCCGGTGCCCGGTGAGCCGGGCGGCCGCTTTCCCTTTCTTTCGGGGTGGAGGAGCGGGCTGGGGGGGGTGAGACAGTGAGCGGGGCGCCCCCTCAGTGCGGTGCGGGGGGGACCGGGGGAGGGGGGAGCGGCAGAGTTTCCGTTACGCTCGGACGGGGCGGGGCGGGGCCGGGGAGTGAAGGGCGGGCTGCGATTGGCTGCCCGGCGCCCACCAATGGGCGCGCGGCGCTGCGCCCCAGCAACAAGCCGGATTTAGCCCTGCCGCTGGCCGCGCGCCAGCCCCGCCCCGCGCTGCCCGGAGGCGGGACGTGCGCGCTGCGCAGCGCCCCATGGCGGCCGCGGGACGCTCCGCGCTTTCGGGCCGCCCGTGCCCGCCCAGCGGTGCATGAGCTGTGGGATAAGCGAAGAGCAGCGGGGAAAGGGTTTCTCCGTACCCTTCCCCCTGTTGTAGGTGGTCCCCGGCGCCTCACTGAGTGTCGGGAGCGGTGAGGGAACGCGGAAGAGACGTGGTTGACGTGAGTCTTCTTTGTCTCCGCAGTTCTTAAAAAACAAGATGGGAAAGACAGAGAAGGCGGCCGTCCCCTACGGCCAGCCCGTTCACAGCTTACACCTGTGTGAACAACCAAAGATTAACAGGCAGAAGAGTAAGTGTAACACGCCAGTGACGAAGATCGCCTCGGCGAAAAAGATAGAGAACTTTTGGCAGGATTCTGTGTCGCCGGAGATAGTTCAGAAGCAGGAGAAAAAGCCACTTAAAAACACAGAGAACTTCAGAAATGCCAAGTCCAAGAAACCTATCACCCTAAATGAAGTGAGCCAAAAAGAAAATTACGCTGGGGCAAAGTTTAGTGACCCACCATCTCCCAGTGTCCTTCCAAAGCCTCCCAGCCACTGGGTTGGTGGCACAGCTGAACTGTCTGACCAAAACAGGGAGTTGATGGCAGTCCATTTGAAAACTCTCCTTAAAGTTCAAGCATAGTTTCCAAAATCCCTTGAGTAATTGGCAAAGAAAACTCCATCCACAAAACTTAAACATGCCTTGTTGCAACAAAAATCGCAAAAGACTGTCAAGTCTTACAATCACATAAAAAAAAATTCCTTGTATTATATTTTTTATGGTTGTGTAAATAGTGTACATCTTGTATTATGTGTATATTCTTGTTCATACTTTGAGAGGTACATTTTAGTTTTGTTATGAAAGGATGTATTTTGCACTGCCTGATTGGTAGATGTCTTGTATATAAAATATGGACAATTCAACGTGTGTGCTTGACACATGAAGACTTGACTTGCTTTGCACAAGGTAATGAAAATTTTGGAAGGAGAGTACAGCTTTCTGATAAAGGTTCCAGATCAAATGTGAATGTTTTGTTCATGCACTACTGACAATAGTTTTACATTCTGTCTCCCAATCAAGTATTAACATGGAATTTTCATACAAATGTGAAGTTCTGCCCTCTGCTCTGGAAACTATCTGGAATTCCTGTTCATCTGTTTTTAAAATTAACTGGAATTTGACTAAAATTCCAACCCACCAATTTGAGCACTGCTGATTTCTTTAAACA